TTATTTCAATCAAAAAGGGCGTGGTAACGAGATTGATGGGTCATTGTCTCCAGAAGATGGCGGCAGATTGTCCTTGTCCTACTGCGGCTTGGCCCAACTGAAAAGTTTAACTTGAAGGGGCACGGCACTCTCTGCATGCCCTGATCGAACTAACGGCACTGCTGCTGGTGTTAGTGTTGCCTTGAGTCACGGCTGTCAAGGCCATTCAATATCCGCAAAATTGTTTTGAAGTACTGTTATGGTTCATGCTCGTGACCTACAGAATGCTTTTGCCGGAAGGTGTAATATGGAGAACACTCAGTACATATACGTGCACGTCTTCGGAGTGCATTGTTTCGTTTTATAGGTAGGTTTTCGAAATTACCCGTTGATCATTTATATATGAAATGTATTCACCCTATTTCGTTTAAGGTGACTGGTAGTCTCGAAAACCTACTTATAAAAGTAAATATAAATAACATAGTCGATTGCTATAGCAAAATACAACATTGTATTATCAACAATCTCACTACAGAATATGATATGGGAAAATGCATGGCTTTCCTTGAAATTCATATCTGCCCTGTGACCCAAGGGCACTCGTGGCGATGTGGTGAAGTGGTTAACGCGTCGAGATTACACGATTCTCTGTCGTGATTCGAGTCCCGCTTGGGGTGTTGCTAAGACCTATGCGATATCGAGACTGCAGACCACTCTGGATGAGAACACCATTCGAGAAAGCAAGGCTATGTGAAATTCGATGGAAAAGTCAGCCACACTCGCGTCATTGTTGGAAAATTCAACCACCAGTCCTTCGTCACCTTTAACGAAATAGAGTGAATAAACTTCGGAGTGTATTCAAAGATATTAAGATCAAGATGGTGTGGTCATCGGTATGGCAGCAGTCTCCTTTCGATGCATACAAGTGGGTTGACCTCGTTTTCTCAACTTGGACTTGTTGTCAAGGTGATTTAGTTAGAAGCACCTTGTCCGAAGTCCTCTGTCATAGTAGTTTCGCCGATATCGTAGTTGGCATCATCAGTGAGTCTTGCCATTCTCAGCAACATACTTTAGCTCGTCCAGGCGACAAATGTAGTTAATCCTTTGATAAGCTTTCTGCAGAAACGTAATGTTATCACTCCTCTTTCTGTCCTGGCGGAAGTGGAATAAGAGGATAAGATGTAGATAGATGGGCCAGGACAGAAAGAGAAGAAATATCACAACCGTTTCGACAGAAAGTTGGTCATGGGATTGACTTCCCTTGTTTCTTTGAAAAGTTGTAGCTTGGTGCTGAATGTGGTAAGGCTCATTTGCGATGCCGGCGAAACGTCTGAGAATGTACCAAGTCAACTGTTTGATCCTGGGAATTATGATAACTATTATGGCAGAAGACTTCGGACTAGATGCGTTCAACTAAGTCGCCCTGACAACAAGACCTATTTGCGAAAACGAGATCAGCCCACTTCCCCACCGAAACCACTTTTACCTTTGATCCCATAATGAAAATGCTACCAGGGAGACTAACTGTAAAAGTAGTTAAACTGAACAAAACAACATTAGATGTGGGCACTGAGTAGGTTCTTTCAAAAGGTCCGAGCTTTGCGTTGCCAAGTAGCAAGGATAACTGAGCGGAAATAATGGTCCCGGAGATGAGGAGGGATAATAAGTAACAGGGTATCCCTTCATTTGACAGTCATGTCGAGGTGGCATCAAAAAGACGATAAGAAAAAATGGCCAAATGATGTTAAGGGTATAAAAAGCAGGAGTCCTTTTAGTTATGGTTGGGTGCGTTATAAATAACACTTGGTATAGGCTTTAAATTACTTTCAATTCAGTAGGAAGCCTACAAGAGTATGGGATAAACTGGGGATTGGAGATGTAAAAAATGGGCGCCAGACAGCCGAATGCATATAGTTTGCCTAAAATACATGAAGAAGTCCATTTAGAGGTCATGTGAGCACAATATTGTACGTGAGGTATGAGGCATCACGATACATTTGGAACCAAATGTAGCATACATCTCAGATGCATTCGCCATATTTTCTCAAACAGATGAAGGGCTAATAGTTGCATTTCCAGAAGCGATATGAGTAGGCCTTAGGTTTCCTTTTGATTTCTTAAAATGTCTTCTCATCCAGACAAGAGTGGACTGCAGATTTGACTCCGCTTGGGTCTCATCAGATACCAGCGGAACTCGAACCACAAGAGTGCAACGTATAATCTCGGCACGTTAACCATCAAGTCACATTTCCACGAGCGCACTTAGATCACAAGGCAGATGTGAATTTCAGGGAAGGCCAGGTATTTTCCCTTGTCATATTCCGTGGTGGGATTATGGATGAATCTAAGTTGTATTTGCTATTGAAATCACCCACCCTGGATGAAAATAGCTCTTGGGAAAGCATAGCTATGCGAAACTCAATGGAAACGTAAGGCCTATTTAAATGATTGTGTAAAAATTCAATTACCAAATCTTCATCACCTTGACAAAATAGAGTGAATAATTCTCATGAATATGACCTATAAACGAAAAACAAGTGTAGCATATCTCCGAGACTTGGCAGTCATCAATATGGAATTCATGTGAATGACCTAAACATTATTCTTTAGACATCTCCGACGGGATTCGAAAAGTGGATAAGAGGGCTATAAGACGATGTTTTGTCAGAAATAGCTTGTTTCTCACGTTTGGTAAGCCCTACAATGTTAAAGGGCATTGTACTTAATTACATAAATTTCATTAAGCCATAGATGCAATATGTTTTATCCGAAAATACGCATACACAACTTTATAACTTAATGCAAACTTAATCCTGCATTTTCGGTGCTTCATCACCGGTGACGATTGCAGCAGCTGATAATCGCTTCCATAATGCAATTATGTGTATTTTCGAAACCCTGCAGAAGCCTTCGTCTTAGCGTCCGCTCCCAAAAGATTTTTACACGCAGTGAGCCCTGTTACTTTAAATTTTTCGGGGTAAGTTTGCCTAAATTTATTAAATGATTATTTCGTGGCTATCTCGAACTTGATGTTTGTCGAGGCCTATCAGGCTGGACTAAAATTGTTGGAATAATGACTGATAATTATTTCTTGGCTTTGCTTTGAATCCCATTGCTATCTGCATCCCTGAAAGTTCTTCTCGTCCGAGATGGATTGGGTCCCGGCGGCTCGCTAAGTTGGCTTCGAACTAGTGATTTCTAATATGGAGCAGGTAAATTCCCTAAAAATACACCTAATTTTAGGCAGATTTCCCATCAGGCCATGAAGCCTATTTTTAACAGGTAAGCTTTGACGAAATGAAAAAATTGCCTAATTTTTTGAAGACAACGGTTTTGGTCAAGAAAAGCTTTTAATGTGAAGGGGGAGGGGGATAAAGCGGGAGAATTGTTCCATGTAGATTATACAGGTATAGTCTTGACCAATTACTAGAATAGTGACATACCAAAGAGGTTCCCAGACCTAGATGGGATTTTTTTTAAATAATTGTTCCACTTATTAATACTTCTATTTATATTTATGCTTTTCTTTACTGCATCTGTATATGTGTCTTTGCACATTTATATTATCCGTATCTGTCTGTCTCTTTGTACGTATGCCAACATGGCTGCATGCCCTCTGTTTCGTGTACGCTTGCATACATCTACTTGCATGACGGTTGTCTGGACCATAGAACGCGTCTTTTAAAAGAACGCGCTCGTCGTTTAGCTGAAGAGCGTTGTGGCCTAACAACTACTGATGAGGAGACCCTAAGTGAGCTCCGCCTGGGCGCTGTTCGCCACCATCGCAGGGACGAATCGGCCCGGAGGCGACGTCAGACAACAGTGGTTGTCCCAGCAACAGGCCGAAACCAAGTTGCCACGCCGCAATCGCCAGTCCCAGTCATCGGCAGTGCCAACGCGAGTAGATCAAGGGCAACAAGAAATGTCTCCGGAACTGCTTCCGCCGGTCTTACGACAATGCTAGAGGAAAGGGAGCCAACAGAGCCAAGTCTGGCGTCTCTAATCCTCGATGAAAAGACGGTTGGTAACGCCCGAGTGAGTAGTCGTGCCTATGCAAAACCGGCTCAAAATTCGACCGAAATGATAAAAAATGGTCATGTCTTAACCCCCGAAGGACGTGTAAAAGAGCATCGGACCCCGAATAGCCAGAAAAATCTGGTCAC